GGGGAGAGAGAGAGAGAAAAGAAATCAGCCAAAGGTGACGTGAGTGGATTGGTGTGGCCCATAAACCTGTATCATTTGGCCTGCATGCTATGGTTAGCTGGTTCCTCCTCTAGACAATAATTTCAGAATCCTCTCAGTCTCAAGTCCTGTGAGTGTGTGGAGGGTCTCATTCCTCCCCTTTCTCATTCCTCGTCCTTTCCCTTTATCAGTGGCCTAAGGTTTCACTCACGGGGGCAGACCTTAGGTCTAGAGGGGAAAGCAGTAGAAGCCACGGGAGGACTTGTGGCCCTCCATTTGGGTGGGCAGCATAGTGAGGCCAGAGTTTCAAGCCCCCAGAATTGCTTCTGGAAGATTAACACTGGAGCAAAAACCACATCTGCTTCTCCTGCCAGCTAAGGAGGCTGGGCAACTGGTGCCCTGCAGCTGGGGTCCCTGGTGTGATATTCTGCATCCTCACAGGGTTGCCTTGGTATTATTTCTCCTGAGAGGTGATCCACAGTGTGTTTGAGCTTAAAAAGTCAAGATGAAAAGGAAAAATGGGCCGGGCATGGTGGCTCATGCCTGTAATCCCAGTACTTTGGGAGGCTGAGGCAGGAAAATCGCTTGAGCCCAGGAATTCGAGACCAGCCTGGACCTGGGCAACATAGTGAGACCTCGTCTCTTCAACAAGAAAAAAAAAACTTAGCCAGGCATGGTAGCACGTACCTGTAATTCCAGCTACTTGGGAAGCTGAGGTGGAAGGATTGCCAGAAGGTTGAGGGCTGTGGTGAGTCTTGATCATGCCACTGCACTCCAGCCTGGGAACAGACTCTGCCTCACATACGCACACAAAAAGGAAAAAAAATGAAAGCTAATTGTTTTTGAGTGCCTGCTTCCTTGAGCTCCAGGATTGGAGCAGGAGTCTTTGACCTCAAATCTTTGCACTCTTGGACATCATGGATGGGATTGCATACCCACACTTGCTGGGAGACCTAGCTTCTCAAGGAGGTTTATGGCTCCTTGCCCCAGAAAAAGTTGAGCTCCACTAGTTTTGAGGGAAACAGGAAATGAGAAACTTGCCAATTAGGGAAAACTTAATTTTATAAGAGTATAATGTTTTCTGTTTCTAGAACATTTTCTGGAAAATTTATGGAAAACAGTAAAGATCTTTAGGACATAGAGAGTGGAAGCCCCAATGCTATCTATTCCTGAGGACTCACCTCCAGCTAGATTGGTGCTTTTTTTTTTGAGTTGGGGTCTCATTCCGTCACCCAGACTGGAGTGCAGTGGCATTATCACAGCTCACCACATCCTTGAATTCCTGGGCTCAAGCAGTCCTTCCTCCTCAGCCTCCTAAGTAGCTGGGACTATAGGCGTGTGCTACCACGCTTGGCTAATGTTTCTGATTTTTTGTAGAGACAAAGTCTTGCTATGTTGCCTAGGCTGGTCTCAAACTCCTGGGCTCAAACCATCCTCCTGCCTTGATCTCCCAAAGTGCTGGGATTCCAGGCGTGAGCCACTGT